TTTTCAATGCTCATTATTAAGGCTTGCTTTGCCCACAGCCTGGTCCGTTAATTGGAATTTAAATAGGTAGGTAGGTAATTGGGTTACATAGAAGTAATACTTACTTAGGCGATTATTACAATGATTTATGAATAAAAATAAGTTTTTGCATCCTATTAATATTTACTGCTATATGGTAGGTAATGGTAGAAGAAACGAAACATAATTGGAGGGTTTTTAACCGACTTCAAAAAAGGAGGAGGTTTTCAATTCGTCTGTATGTTTTTTTTTGTATGTATGTTACGCGATAAGTCCGCCATTTGTGAACCAATTTTGATGATTCTTTTTTGTTGGAAAGAAGGTACCTCAGATGTGGCCCTATTTAAAGTTCAAGAAAATTTTCCACCTCTAAGGGTGGCAAACTAGGGGATGAATGACTTTTGAGGACGGTTTCTAATTTTTTATTTTCTATTTCCGATTCTGGACTTGAATTACCACCAGACCTCGAATATTTGCAATCTCTTCCTTCAAATCAAAACGTCACTAGGGATGACACAGTTTTATAAATAATTAATTATTGGTCATTATTATGTAATTTTTAGGTGATATGAAACTCCTTTTGAATTATATTCATTATAAATATGGCTTAAAGATTTAGTTTTATCCATAATCTAGTTGAATTTCGTAGGAAAATATTGAAATTGTAGTAACTGTGAAAGAGTCTGGGATAAAAACCCTAAAAATCATGTTTTTATTTGTTGACATTTATTCTACATCGAATTTGGCTAGAATATAGATGGCGCTTAATGCACAGATTTTTATGGATAGCACCGGTTGTTCTGTTATTTTATTAAGGACTAGTGCAATCTACCCATACTAGGAAGTGTTAATTTACAAATTAATTTGTAACACACAATGCGATCTATTGACGCGCATATATATCAAAATTTAGAAAATAATTTTAACTCATACAATATAAGTTTCCGGAATTGGCCACTTACATAAACAATATTCAAAAAATAATTACAACATTTCAAAATGGAACTTCTTGGCTGCAGAATACAGTTTGTTTCATCTGACTGTCACTTGCTTTTACATTGTGGCGTCATATTAAAAATTGGTTGTCTACATCACTATGGATTTAATCAAACAATCAATTTATTTATTTGTCAGAATAAGGTACATACCTTGCGATTCGGGCATCTTTAGGCATAAGCATGAGTCAAACACAATCAATACTACACAAACATTTAGGTGTGAAAAAGTTGTGCTCTCGGTGGATCTCACACAATTTGACTGAGGCTCAAAAAACTGATCGCGTCACTTGGTGCAATGCCATGCTTACCAGATTCAACGAAGGGGCGTCAAATTTGGTGTGGGACCCAGTAATAGGTAACGAAACATGGATTTATAGTTACTATCCCAAAACAAAGCAGCAATCGAGCGTATGGGATTTTTCGAGTTGAGCCGAAACCAACCAAAGTGGAGCGCGTGTAAAGTACCTCTAAGCGGAAGATTGCTTCTTTTTTTAATAAAACTGAACATGTGGCTGCTGTCGCTTTGGGAAATCAGAAATCAGAAACATTTATTGTAAGAAATTGTAGATTAAGATGTTACATATGTCCATAAAAGAAAATAAAATAAAATTAAACATGATGTACATTTGTCAAATATTTGATGTCACTTTATAAAATTCACTTAGATTATAGAAAACATCGTCAATTAGCCATTTCTCTAAATGAGCCTTGAATTGATTACCATTTAAGGAATTCACGACATTTTGTTTCCCGGAAGTTGTTGACAAACTCCGTAAAAATAACCGTAAACGTCGTATCATCTTGCACCACGATAATGCCAGTTCTCACACGGCCAGACAGACAAATGAATTTTCGAAGGTGAACAACGTTGACCTTATGAGCCATCCCGCGTACAGTCTCGACCTGACACCTTGTGACTTTTATTTATTTCCAAAAATAAAGAACCAGTTACGCGGTCAACGATTTTCTTCACCTGAAGAGGCTGTCGAAGACTATGAAAAATATGTTTCAGAGATTGTCACGGAGGAGTACCATAAATGTTTTCAAAATTGGTCGTTCGTAAGAAAAAGTGCATTAACGCTAACGGAGAATATTTTGAAAAACAATAAATTCATTTCTGACCATTTATAGTATTTGTTCTTATTCATTCCGGAAACTTATAGTGCACCCCACGTATGATCAATAATTGAATAATATTAAGGAAATTAAATAATCTCAGTACAGAGTACTAAAACAACCGACCTCCAAAGTCATTCATCCTAGAGGAACTTAGAGGATGAATGACTTTGGAGGTCGGCTTGCCACGGTTTGGTACTTAAATAACGCACACGCACACACTCAACATAGCCCAGCACTAGGGAAACCCTGTGTCGCGGGTGCCATGGACACACACATAGACAACCACAAATTATACCCAAACTTACGAGAGAAATAAATGTAGGCCATACAAACATTTCTCCCGGCCCGGGAATCGAACCTGGGACCTCTGCGTGGCAGTCCGGCATGGTAACCGTTCGGCCACGGAGGCAGTTAAATAATAAAAAATACAATGAATAGAAACATCTCTAGCCAAAGCTGGTAGGTGTAAAGGTATCTAACTGGGTGACGAAATATTTAAGATTTCTTATAGATGGCGCTACGGCTTAAAGTCGTTGTAAAACCAAATTCAAAGACACGACAACAATCAAATAAAAAAATTCGTAAGGTCCGCTGGTTCGTTCCGTGCCTTAGTTGGTATATAGAGTCTGGCACGGTATGCTAGAAGACGTAGAATCGAATCCGGCCGAATCGAAGGAATTTTTTCTGAGTGTTCGATCTTTGTATTAACAATTATAACAAACTAGTGGAGTAATTTCACATAAAAATAATTGAATATCACAATTCAATGAAAATTTAAGTACAATGAATAGCGACATCTCTAGCCAGGGCTGGTAGCTATAAAGGTATCTAACTGGGTGACGAAATACTTAAGATTTCTCATAACTGTCGCTGTTAAATGAGTACTACTGAAGTACCCTCTTTCCTACAAAAAAAGAAACGTCTAACTCAGAGTTACGGTCTGTAGCAAGGAGATTAGCACTCCTCTTGGGTTATTGGTTCCTAATAACACGTAATAAAAACAAACTGTCAAGAACGGCTGTTCTTGATAATCGTTTTCACAAAGTCAGAAATACATTTGTATCAAGTTTCTGATAATAAGATTCCGGTTGACAAAATTTAACTTTCCTTTTTATAACACCAAGTGACGGGACGAACCAGTCGTGCGTATTTGGTAAGCTACATGCGTGTTGCAATGCCACTCAGAGCTTTAAATCGCAAAGATCTTAGGGCACTGCCGCTTCATGTGCCTGTTATTTCACCAGCCCCTTACCCTTCTAAACCGGAACGCCGTAATGCTCACATTACTGCTTGGCGGCAGAACTTCCCTGGACGAACTTTTTCACAATGAGCTTTACGGCGATTAAACTCTCACGAGGTTTAAAACTATAATGAAACAAAAATGTTATCCTAAAGGTTTATTTAGTATATAGCTTCCGAGTACTTGGATTACAAAACTCCGTGCTAGTGACCAGTTTCGCTCTTACAGGTATTCTCGATCTGAGATGTTTGAAAAATAATAACGTAAATGATTAAATGTATTCAATTGTATATTTACAAAGAGAAACCTCTAGAGTTTATTGCTCTTTTTTCTCAGGGGAATCTGCCTTATGAATGCGCAGTAAAGTTCAATGTTACAAGTGTGATTTGCTTACCTATGAAATGAAGATTATATAAATTTTAGTTTGAGTTTGTAGCTTGATGTGCTGCCGTTCTTATACAATGAGTACATGAGCAACGGAATTCACTACGGGGTGCTACCGAGAACGTTAAGACCAGAATCAATTAACGCGAGAACGCAATAGGAGCACACTTTAATTAAGTATACGAGATGTACAGGGTTATTTGTAAAACTAACAACTTCCCAGGACTTTATTATTAACATCACAACCTAGGAGATTTTATTTTCGAACCATGTCAGATGGGCCTCATAAAAGGAGCTTAAGTCACTCAACGAGCTATGGAGCGAGCAATGATCGGCATTTATCTACGTGATCGAATCAGAAATGAGCAGATCTGTAGTAGAACGAAGTCACCGACATAGCTCAAAGGATTAGCAAGTTGAAGTGGCAGTGGGCTGGGCACATGACTCGTAGAACGGACGACTGGGGCAGAAAGGTTCTCGAATGGAGATCATGAACCGGAAGGACCGGATGGACGGATGACCTGGTAAGGGCGGCAGGTAACCGATGGATGCGCGTCGCGTCCGATCGGCTGGTCTGAAAATCTTTGGGGGAGGCCTACGTTCAGCAGTGGATGTCCTCCGGCTGATGTGATGATGATGATTATGATGACAATGTCAGATAGTATAACAAATATACCAAAATAAACTTAAAAGTTTATTTGTCGACGCTTTGGCCTCCCGCATGGTCGTTTTCTACCTTCAGGGATCCATTCTATGATAGCTTTCGCCCACGAGTTGTCTTACATGCTGCAGACCCAGTCCCATTTTGGTATACTCGCTTATTGTCCCACTATATATTAGTAATATAATTTTGCGAGGTTGTTGGAATTTTACAAATAATCCCGTATGTTAGAGATGAAACCAAGTATCTGGCGTGTTCTTCCTGATTTTTACTGTCTGGCCGGATGCCGTGTACACGCGCAAACGCAATTCATGCACGCACGCATTAATACATAAGCAGTAGTATGGTAGCAGTAGAGCTCCTTGCGAAAGAGTTCGTCCAGGGAAGTTCAAATTCAAATTCATTTATTTCTTTGATTTACAAAAGGTGTTACAAAAAGTTCATATAGAATCACTATGATCTGCCTTGCAGCATACAAAGTTTCATTTTTTTTGTATACACGCTCATGCATTAACGTGTATACTGTATTCATAGATACAATAGAAGTACTGCTACCTTACCTATTTTGCCGCCAAGCAGTAATGTAAGTATTAATGCGTTCCGGTTCCTTTCCGTTTCGGTTCCGGAAAGGTAAAGGTGACGGTGAAATTACAGGCACATGGGTCTTGTCAGCTTGTGTCCCGAAAAGACTGGTATGCTTCTTTGCAGTACATGATTGTTATTCAAAACGTACCATATCGTTTAACTTATGATTGCAGTCTTCAAGTTTTGCATTGCTTCGAACACGTCAACGGTATAGGCGGCGTGACAATCCTTGCCGATGGTTTCTATGGTGCAACGCGTCTAAAGGAAGAGCATTTCGAAGACTTTCAACTCTTGACCACCTTAGATGTGGACGCGGAATATCTGGAAGACGGTCACCATCACCGTTATGCTGCCCCTATTATTACAATCGATAAAAGAACTGAAGATATTGTGCAGATAAGGTATGCTTTAGAATACATTCCTGTGTTGTTATTAATCTATAAATGCTTATATTCGTAACCTAAACCAATGTTATTTTAGCGAGACTATATTTTTGGTAAAATAAAACTCATTTTCAGGTTCAATGTATACGATCGGTCCGCAATGCCTTTAGCCAATAGCGAAGAATGTAGGGCCTACTATCGCTCCCTGCGGAACCTCGCTCGCTATTACGAAGATACTAATAACCAATGGCAGTTCAAATTGCGTCCAGGTAAATATTATAAGCTATTTTTATGTCATACCTTGTTTGCTAAAGAACTTTAACTAAAATGCAATAACAAAATTTGAACGAACATTATAAAATTCTTTGTCTAACTTTCCTTGACTTGTTATAGGAACGGTATTGGTTATAGACAACTTCAGAGTTCTTCACGGAAGAACCAGCTTCTCTGGTAGCAGGACATTGGGTGGCTCCTACGTGACTCGCTCCGATTGGCTAGACAGAGCCCGTACATTGAAGCTTATCAAATAATAAATTACTATTTGAATTTCGAACAACCAGTTGCGGCATCATTAAAATATTGTTAACATCTTCACAGAATTCCATCTATTGTAGTTTCCAAGAACGATTTGGAGTCTATTGATTAAATATTCATCAGTTGTATTAATTGCTTTTTGATACTAATCCTAATTCTTTCATTTAATATCGTAATCACTCCCGTAGTTTGAGCCATTCACCATGAAGCTGTGTTAATCTCCCGCCCGATGTAATATATTCATCTCGCTGTATCGCACGTGCATGTAACCACTTTTTTGTCACTATCAGGTTGCCGTCTTGCTCTATCTGTGAACACCCGCCTTGTTATAAGTTTTGCTCAGCTTCACTTGGGTTCAGTAATCTGCTATAAATCTCGATCGCCTGTCATGCATTTTAGTTTGTCCTGGAAATTGGCAATTCGGTTTATAAATTTCGAAATAGACAAGACAATTTGAAATGCAATAAACCTCAATAATGTTTTATTACAAAAACTTTTCTCGTAATATCATTTACAAATTTAAATTCTTAAATAATTTACTACGTCGAGATGTGAAAAGTTTCAGCAAACTGACAATAAATGCGGGAACTTGAATTTCAAGTTTATTTTAAAAGCCACCGTCCCTTGGCTTTTGCGACAATTGTGTGAAATTGTCGCCGTAAATACTTCTCCGGTTCAATCGAGCACTTATTGTTACATTCCGCAAAAACTCTGCGAGAGCTTACTTGAAATTCAATTTCTGTTTGGAAAATATTTAACAATTTCTCAAAGTCAATGTCTTGAACGTAACGCGATTATTGAATGATTGTTGTTGTGAACACCAGAAAAAAAATCATGACGTAACTTCGATTTATTTTTATGTAAACTGAGAGTTATATTGATTTACAATTGAGGGGTGGATAGTTCGAATCTTTGGGAGCATGTGCCTACCTTTCATTTATTTCTGAGTTACGCATATTAGTAACAATACCTCTCGAAACTTCATGTCGAAGGTTCACAACCCCTGAAACATTTTCAACTCCCATTGGCTGGGAGATTGTGGTCTAAATCCGCTTGAAGGAGGAAACCATTACCGGGCAATGGCATGTATAATAGTATAATATTTATATCGAAATCGGTTTATGTCCATATTAAATTACATAAAATCATAATAAAGTAAAAAAAAACCATCACCACCCCTGGAGACCCAGGAGATGGAAAAATAAAGGTGGACGTCAAACTGAGTAGCTATAAAGAGGTCAAGAATCTGACTATGAACCGTGAGGAGCGGAGGAAGCTACACCGACAAGAGCCTGGCTCTTAAATAGGATGATGATGAGGAGGTTTCGGGCTCCTTTCTCCATAGAATCAATATAGGAAACGACTTTTTAAAATTACTCTGGGTGTTACAATGTCGCATTTATTTGTGTCAACCGGATGAAACCTGTGTCAACGGGCTGATCTGGGATCAGGATCTGACTGATAAGGTTCCTGTGCAGGCTTGCTTACACAAGTAACAGTGCCCTTCTCGTATAACCGAAGGTTAGTGAGGGAGGGGTACTATAAACAAAATTTAGCAGAAGATATATGAAGACTGCTCTGAGTGTCCAAAGCAGTGAGTCGAAGTCAATTTCGTTGCTTTGGTGCTCAAAGTACACTGAATTCCTAATTTACGATCAGGTTATTCGTGTGGTTATCTCAGCCATTATCGATTTCATTATCGAGCTCTAAGATTTTCGCGAAGATAGTTATATTCTAAATCTTTCCTGAATCCGTATATATGGTTTTTTTCAAAGAAACCAGCGTTTCGGGTTCGTTACAGGTCCCATGGTCAGGGTTGATTCCGTAATAAACAGATCGTTAACTAGTTTATTATTATTTTTTAAATTTATTGAATATCACGGTGTTTACTACACTGATATTCAATTATTTTTTGTGAAATCACTTCACTAGTTTGTTATAATTATAAATACAAAGATCGTACACTGAAAAATTCCTTCGATCCGGCCGTATTCGAACCAGGGCTTTCAAGCATACCGTGCCAAACCCTCTCCCAATGAAGCTACAAAACGAACAACCAGACCATACCAATTTTTGCTATGTGGTTGTTACACATCTATTATTTTGGTTGCTTACAACTTTAATATTAATTCAAAAAGGAATCGAGCAGAAAACAAAATTTAACCATGAATAAAATCATGATAATCAAACTATATTTGCTCGTAAACTCATCAAATTCCAAGATTTAGCTATCTAGCTTCACCTACAATCCAGTTAACTTGCAATATCCTAGGTCATCAAATTCTAGACTTCACTGGCGATTGGAAACGTATGTCATCCTAGTGTTGTCAACCTTTAATAAAACTATCGAGTCTATCGATGCTTTAAATAACAATAAATTTTATTAATGTCACGGTCATTTTCGCAAAAAAAATGTTAATGATAAGATTTGTGATAAGAATAATAGTATTTTTTTATTAATAAAAAACAAGTAAAATAATGTGAGGAACAAAATCATATTGCCTGTTGTTGACAGTTGTCCCATAAAGTCACAAACGCATTTAAAAGGTAATGTACAAAAGTTTATTTACAAAGAGCAACCTATAAAATTTCTTACTCGTTCTTTTCAAGGCAATATGCCTTACGAATGAGCAGTATTGTTTAATCAGTATGTCGATTTCAAGTGTACTGTAGTCTAGGCTCTGCTCTATGAGTAGAACTATACATACATATTCTCTTCTTGTACTTTTCACTGGTATTAATTATAAAACAATATTAAATAAGTAAAAATATAAACTACGACCTTATGTACGCTTTCCTGGAGGTTTTTCGTAAAAACATATTAAATTTTTTCACAACGGACTTTTCTTCATTGGAATTTTTCCATTTTGTAGGCTTTGTTATATTATATATCTCTTCCATTCCCTCAGAGATTTTTCAAAAAATAAAATATACAAATTTTTTTCACATCGGAATGTTCACGTAAGGCGATCGTACACCACTTGTAAGGCGAACTCCACCATTTGTAACCTGGGGACGCAGCTTAGGTTGCGTAGAGAGAGGTACTTTATAAATATAAACTGGGATAATCTTCAAAACTAGATATTTATTGTATTTTTTTACATGTTCACTTACGGAGGCTATTTCTAGATCTGCCAAGATGTTCTTTTTTCTATCCTATTTTTTAAACGCATTCTAAATACAAATCTATATTCACTCAGCCAGTAGTTCTACTCATGGAGTAGAGCCTAGACTACAGTACTCTTTTTGCCTATGAAATAACGATTTCTTTTAATGAATTTTGAATTGATAGTTTGTAAACCTTCCTTCTTTTGAATATCTTTTTAGGTTTAACTGGATAATATTATCTATGATTTACTACTACATCTTTCGTCTGTATAGCATCGATAATATCGATATCCTTATCGATGTTTACCCTGCTTTTTAAGGTCAACTATCATAGTCAAGTTATCGATAGTTACAATATTAGGTACGGAACACACTATCAACATAGTATGTACAGGTGACACACACACATACACCTATTACCTGTTCTCAAATTCGAGAATTCCTTGTATGGGTACCAGAACAACGAAATACACTCAAGGATTACCCGGATTATCCAATCCAGGACCAGTGTGGTAGATTTTGTTTTCAAAATTGATTTTGATGGAAATCCAACCAACAACTGTTGGTGCCAACCAACACGCTGTGTTTCTAATGCTAACTAGAACTCCTTATGAAAGAGTTCCTCCAGGGAAATACTGCTACTTTATCTATTTCTGTCACCAAGCAGTAATGTGAGCGAGTGACCTTCCGGTTTTGAAGGGTAAGGGTGAAGAAATTACAGGCAGTCGAGACTTGTCAACTCCACGTCTCAGAGAGATAGGCGCAGTGACAGTGCCCCTCAGACATTTGTGATTTAAAGCGCAGTGAGTGGCACTGCAACTGTTATGGACAGACGTGTCGCTTAACACCAGGTGAACGACTTGTTCGTACCATCATTACAATAGCACTTTAGGTCGCAAGAGCTTTAAATCGTAATGATTTGAGAGGCACTGACACCATGAGACATAAGTTGCTGAGTCCCATGTGCTTGTAATTTCACCAGCACCCTTCTTCTTCAAAACCGGAATGCAGTATTGTTCACATTACCGCTTGGCGCCATAAATAGGTAAGGTGGCAGTAGTTCCTTGGACGAACTCTTTCACAAGGAGATAGATCACAAGTCGGTAGACCGCTATATTAAAGTGACAGTGGATGTGGACAAAGGTTTGTCAAGAGTACAGTAGGTAGAGGTTAATAGTATGTATTAAATTAAAACTTCTATACGTTCAACATCAGAAAGCATTTAATGTTTTAGGCAGCGACTCATAAATTAGTGTCTGTACAAGTATGTCTCAAAGCGATCATTTACCCATATCAAATAACTGTCACCGTTGACTGCGATAGGGGATCTCTTATCTTTTCCTGGAATCTAAATGAGAATATAATCATAAATATAATAATGTGGTAAAAAAGATAAACGCTGTTTTTACCCCCGATGCAAAAAGGAAGTATGGTTCTGCGGTATCGTAGCTCCCAAATGGTTTAACTTCTGACAATGTGACCTACTCCATAGACATCCAATCTTTTAATCACCATTTTCTCTGGTCCATGGCCACTTAGTTTTGAAATTTTGAATCGTTCTTTAATTATTTTTCTTCGCCAATATTAAATTTGCATCGTTCCGTCGCCGCTCCTCACAAAGTTCTAGAAGGAAAGAAACGTGCTATCTATCATCATGTATCACCATACAAAATTTTCTAAGCGGGAGGACGTGTTTTTCTCAAATGAATTTATATTTCATTAAATGTCAAAATTTCCTTACATACGTTTTTGTAAAGTGTTTGTGCACATACATCACACACATTTTTGTGGTTCAAAATGTCGTAGCAAAGCAATCGTCTTTGGACTCATTGAACTGGCCTCGACTTACAGATGGTGGTTTTTGGATTACACTGTATTACATGGAGGTTTTTTTGTTAATATGTTTATTATTGGCAAATGTAGTAATACCACGGTACGTTGGATTATTCTTATATATTTATGGTATTATTCTGTGATGTCATTGTAATTTTCAATATGCAAAGCCATCCCATCTAGGTGTAACAATTCCACCTAAT